GGAAGATGTACAATGACATTCAAAAATTGGAAAAGTACAATAAAATGAAACTGACCTTATCTGTTATATATATATATATATATATATATATATATATATAATATATATATATATATGACCACACTCAACTACATCTCCATTTTCATCATTCCATCTTAAATCAAGAATGTTTGATGGGAATTTTTAACATCAACTTGAGATTTTTCTTGTTAAATAGTTGAATAATTTTGACACATTCAACATCGTGGATTTTATATAGTGTTTTTTTTTTTTTACTTAGCATGGGCAAAACAAATTCACAGATTTGAACAGCAAAAAAAAGACTCTGACTGATGTCAAAATTGATGAAAATCTTTCATCCTTTAATAGTTGCTTGTGCTTAGTTTAATTTGCAATGTATCTAAATTTAGGTAGAAAAAACGCAAATGTTGATATGATAGTGAGGGTCACAAAGCACTGTCTAGAGCCTCCAATCAGTCTTAGGTCACGGTCAGAGGGTTTGGGGGTAGTATGCATCAGACCAGTATAATAAAACAGTTATTGGTCAGAGTTGAATTTTTGTATTAAAAAGTGCTCAAGGCAGCTATAAAGAAAATAAAAAAAATTAACATGTAGAGCTTTTAGATTTAAAATTTAGGACATTAGCCACTTACGCTACCTTGGTTTCAACCGTTCAGTATTGTCAGATGTTGTAGGCCAAATGATTTCGTAATGCTTTATCATTTATATAGAATCCCTCAACATGAGAAAAACAAAAGTATTAAAATTGTATTGAAGGGGGAGTAAATAAAATATACATAATTTTATACTCAAAAAGTGTTTTTTAGTGTGTATACATTGTGTTATTATTTCTGATCTTTCATTTAGTAGATTTTTGGGATCTGGAAATGTTATTAAGTTTTTCTCCTGGCACAGTTTGCAGATATCACTACGATTACTGTAAGTTTTGATTTTTACTTTAATATTTTCCAGTTTACAATTGGATCTTTGTTATTTTTTTCTTTTAATTCCCACACATTCATTTCTGCAAAAAGTGAATTTTGGCACTATGACCATCTTATCATCATCACCACCATATATATATATAAACACACACTCAACTAATTTCTTTGGTTTTGGCTTGAAAATTTATATATATATAGGGGCTTATATTTTTCCATTAGCATGGCCACTATCAGCCAAAAAAAAATCTCACGCCTTGCTTTGCAATTCACTAAAGCACACTAGTGAAAATAAAAAAAAATTATCACTTGTCAGATTGTACATACTTTGAATTTCTCATTCTTTTAATTAATTTATTTATTTTTTTATTTATCTCTTTGTCTCCCCTCTGTCCTTCTGCATCTCCCCCCTGTCCTTCTGCATCTTTTTGTCTCCCCCCTCTGTCCTTCTGCATCTCTCCCCCTTGGTTTCTTGTAGGCCAAATGATTTCGTAATGCTTTATCATTTATATAGTCCTTCATGCAAAAGTCTCTCTCCCCATAATTTTATACTCTGTCCTTCTGCATCTCTCCCCCCTCTGTCCTTCTGCATCTTTCTCCCCCCTGGCCAGTCTGTCCTTCTGCATCTCTCTCCCCCCTCTCTGTCCTTCTGCATCTCTCTCCCCCTCTGTCCTTCTGCATCTCTCTCCCCCTCTGTCCTTCTGCATCTCTCCCCCTCTCTCCTTCTGCATCTCTCTCCCCCCTCTCTCTCCCCTCTCTCCCCCCCCCTTCTCTCCTCCCTCTGCATCTCCCCCCTCCCCCCTCTCTTTCCTTCTGCCTCTCCCCCCTCTCCCTCTCTTTTCCTGCATCTCTCTCCCCCCCTCCCCTCCCTTCTGCATCTCCCCCTCTCCCTCTCTCTCTCCTTCTGCCCTCTCTCCCCCTCTCCCTCCTCTTTCCTTCTGCCTCTCTCCCCCCCCTCTTTCCTTCTCCTTCCTCTCTCTCTCCCCTCTTTCCTTCTCCTCTCCCCCCTCTTTCCTTCTGCATCTGTCTCCCCTCTCCTTCTCTCTCTCTCCCCTCTCCTCCCCTGCATCTCCCCTCTCCCCTCTCTCTTTCCTTCTCCTCTCCCCCACTCCCCTCTCTTTCATCTGCATCTGTCTCCCCCCCCTCTTTCATCCCCCCTCTCCCCTCTCTTTCCTTCTGCCTCTCTCCCCACTCTCCCTCTCTTTCCTTCTGCCTCTCTCTCTCCCCCCTTTCCTTCTGCCTCTCTCTCTCCCCCCTCTTTCCTTCTTCTGCATCTGTCTCCCCCTCTGTCCTTCTGCATCTCTCCCCCCCCCTTCTGTCCTTCTGCATCTCCCCCTCTTTCCTTCTGCCTCTCTCCCCACTCTCCCTCTCTGTCCTTCTGCATCTCTCTCCCCCCTCTGTCCTTCTGCATCTCTCTCCCCTCTCTTTCCTTCTGCCTCTCTCCCCACTCTCCAAAGTGTGTGTATAAGTTTTACTTGCTACTATTTTTTTTTTTTTTAATTTATTCATTTTTACTCCCTTTCCCTTATCTGAAAACTTTCTTGTCCATTAATTCATAAGTGTTTTCTTTTGGCTTCTACATCTGTAGGATGTTTTTTTTAACACGGTTCACAGGTGTTGATTAGTGGTTGATTGGGGCAAGAAATGACTTGTAAATTTGAATGCCTCCAAATCTAAACTGCTCTCATTTAACCAGCTCAGAGAAACTTCCATGCTCCCCTATCAGCTTGGTTGATGTTTTGACGTCACAAGAGCACCTCACTCTGCGTTCTTGGCCTCATGTTTTCAACTGACCTGAGGTGGAACAACTGCATTGAATCAATAGCTGCATCTACCACAAGGGAAAGCTGTTTCATGCCAGGAGGTTTTTCTTGTTTGAATCCATCCTACACATCTACAAATCTATCATTCAGCCATGCATGGAATACTGTTAACCATATATGTTTTGGCGCCCCCACTGTTCATCTTGAGGAACTTGACAAAATCCAAAGACAGATCTGCAATGTGGTCAGTCCTGACTTGGCATCTTGACTCCAGTTGCTTTCTCACAGACATGATGTGACAATTCTACAAATATTTTCATGGCAACTACTCTGACAAGCTATTTTCACTGGTGCCCCGACTGCATGAAATTCAATGTTCTACTAGGTTGGCATCTCGGTCCCACTCTTTTACTGCCAAAACACCTCTTCTTCTCCAACAGCTTCTTCTCTTGCACTTCCCGACAGTGGAACTCCCTTCCTCTTACTTGCTTCTCTGATAACTATAATCTTCAAGTATTCAAATGTAATGTCAATCGACATCTTGTTATGCCTTGATCTTGATCCCTGTCCTTTACATTATCCTTTCTTTAAACACCTCCTCTTTACTCTTACTCTCTATAAGCCCTTGCATCCTAGTGGCACTCCCACCTTGCTTGGTGTGAAATGCTTAAAAATATATTACAATTATTTTTTAAAAATATATTATCATCACTACACTGAAATTCCCATGTTATTCTTAGCATATAAATTTGTATTTTAAGTTTAATTTTTATAATTGAATTTGAATTGATGTTTCAGTTTTGAAACATGGGAATTTCAGTGTTGCAATGATAATATATTTTTAAAAAACAATTGTAATATTATGCTCTACTGTTGTATCGAGCACTGTTATTTAAAAATAAAAAAACGCTAACTCTGAATTATAAATCTCATTGATCTTTCCTATTATTTTAATATATATATATATATATATACACTTTTCAACATATTTGTAGATACAAATATTTATTAAGATCATATTCAAGGGTGATTTATAGAGGATTGAACTCACTATAAATTGATTCAGTGTTTAGCTTGATAACATGTGCATAATATGACATGTCTAGCAAATGAAAATAAGAGATTTTCAAAATCATTACAAAAGCTGATTGTCATGGTTCATTTTTAGTCATTGATCACTGCTGCAATTTTGGCCCAATGCCAAACTAAGCTACCATATTTGAAGACATGTAAGACCTCCTTCACGAAATCCTATCACTGGTACTTCTGCTATGTGCTGTGTCTTTTCAAGATATTAGTGATCATGGCTCTCCACAATTTCTGGTCTTTTGTAGCTCTTAATAAATTTTGTCTTTTTGTTCTTTTAAACTCTCTCTAAAACTTCTCTCTCTTTTACCATCCATTTGTTCAAGCTTGCTGCGTAGATTATGCATTGTTTTCCTCTCACCATCTTAAATTCAATATGACCCGTGAGTATCAAATCTTTTAAGCCTTCTTTCCCCATTATGTGTACTAGAAATTTCAGCTATCACTTTTTGTCTTTTTTGTTTCCATTTTCATTAAAACTTCACATATTTGGTCCATGGTGTTCTCAGCATCCTTCTGTAGAACATTTCTGTTATTTTGTGTCACTTTTTCATCTCTGAGGAGATTGCTCAGCATTCACTGCCATATAGAAGGACTGATATTCAGAGGCAGACCTATATTTTTGGGGCCCTGAAGCTTGAACAAATATGGGGCCCCTTCATAACTAGCAAAAGTATGGTGTGGTCAATGAGCCCATACAGTTGAAGTGTTAGGTGTTGCAAGCACCCAAAAATATTTTTAAATTTGACCAAACACTCGTGAATTTTGAGACCATACAAAATGGGTATTAGAACATATTCTAAGGCCAACATTAGCTACTTGAACTCATTGCAATTCTATCACTATAATGGCCTTATTAACCGGAAAAAAATATAGATTTTGTTGAAAAATTTTCTCATTAAACAAAGTTGCTTTTGGGGCCCTCTGGTATTAGGTATGGTTTTCTTTGTTTCTAGCAAAATTTTCGTGTTTCTTAATACTTTGACAAAATCCTAAACAAAGGACCTTGCCAAATAATAAAAAACACATCTCTTGAAAACTTTTAATAGCAACAATAATGAAAATGGATAGCAATTACTGCTGCCATATATGGTCTGGAGCCTCTGCTGTTCATCTTAAGGTCTACAACAAAATCCAGAGGCAGATATACAATGTGATTTGTCCTGATCTGGCATCTTATTTACAGTCGCTCTCTCACAGACGTGCCATTACATCCTTCTGTCTTTTCTACAAATACTTTCATGGTAACTGCTCCAATGAGCTAGTACTCAAACTGCATAAATTTAAATGTGCTACTAGGTAGGCATCTCAGTCACACCTATTCACTGTTGAAACAGTCAAATGTAGTCATCTCTCTTACTTCAATCTCGCACTTGTGAATAATTCGCTTCACCCATTGTTTGCGCTGACTGAAATGGATTCAAGTGCTTGCTTTCTTCTCAGTTCTACGCTCTACCAACTGAGCTGTCACTATTGACCTCTTCCTATTTCTCTCGTTAGTACACACGTACACTGTCACACCAAAAACGTGTTTTGTTCTGTCCTATCTTCCTCACAGACTCTCTATTTATGCTGATCTTATAAATTTACACTGGCTTGAATTTTTAGTATTTTTGATTTTTATTTTTCATTGTATGCCTGCCCGCAATTTTCGGAATAATTCATTTTCACTTTTAATGCCAGTCGCAATCTTTCAACAATACCTGACATGCCAAGCAAATTTGCTTTGTGTGAGGTAAGTCTTCTTGTTCCTCACAGAACTCACTTCCCCTTACTTCCCTGATAGCTATAATCTCCAACTATTCAAATGCAATGTCAATCAAAATCTCCAGATGCTTTGATATATTCCCCATCCTTCTCTTTACCCTTTCCTCTATCATGCCTCTTTACTCTTGCTCTCACTCTCTGTAGCCTCTTGTGTGTTAGTGGCACTTCCACCTTGCTTGGGGTGAAATGCTTAAAAAAAATGCAACTAGAAGGCAAAAATGATATAATCAAGATGTTGATTTTCCACACTACCTTAAATAGGAGGTTAGAAAGGAAACTGCCATCAGTACTAAAGTGTGTTCCAATAATTTGGACTGATTTTAAATGTGAATTTAGTTTAAGTGTCTATTGATTTTTTTGTTTTTCTTTCAGATTTGGTGTACATTTGGGTGATATTATTTTTCCCACATAATTGCCATGACTAAAATAACATGATTCAATAGAGAAATAAATAAATTTTCACCAATCACACTGATTTATTTACTGCTGACTTTGATCCATCTTAATAAAACACCCTTATATATAATCCGTCTTAATGAAACACCCTTTAGAAAGAGTGATGACAGTGAACTGAAGAAGTCTGTTTTCCTGAAAAACTGTTTTTAGGGGAAAATCTTTATAAATTTCAACCAAGAACTGTTTTGGTCAATGAATGTCAAATATTTTCTGTATGGAAATGGCTATTCTCACCATTATCATTTCCCCACCAAAATAGCTGAAGTTCTTATATAAGATCCAAGAGATGTGTTTGAATGATCGAAGTTAATTTTCTATAGACTAACAGTACATGTACCATGCCCAATTCTTTAATACTGAAATATTAGATGTAAAGGGAAAGGAATGCATGTTGGTTTCATATATAATCAAATACAGTAAGTTAACATTTACATAAATTATTGCCAAGAAGCTTTGTTCATGAGAGAAAGAGTATATATTGCAAAGTTTCATCCCTTTCAATCAATGTCCATTTAATAACCATATAGCTAAGTTATATTTCAGAAATCAACTATTGTCCAGTCACACCACCATTTACAAGCATTCCTGCAATTCTTGAAATATATTTTCCTAATCTGAATTATATCAATACAACCAACCAAGTGAATGAAAACATTATTGATTTTTTTTTATTGATCTCTTATTAATATATATGTATATATACATGTCAGTGCTTGTGTCTGTTGACACACATGTCAGTGGCTATAATTATAGATCTGTATATATAAATATATGTGAGGTGTTAACAAAATTAATGATGTGTGTCACATATTAGTCGTCAACACTTGCAAAGACTTATCAATGGAACAAGAGAATAAATAACAATAAATTAGAAAAATAAAATAAAACAAAAAATATTTAATCAAATGGAAATGAAGCTTTTTATTTTTGACAAATTCTTTTGTTTTATCAACACATCATTAGTATTAAAATTTGATTTTAATTTTAATATTATTATTATGGTTATTATTCTTTTTGCTGAGTGCATTCCCTTACCAGGTCATTACTCAAGAACTTGTATAAGGCAAGTAGTAAAATATATGCATACTATTTGCATACATTCTAATGTTAAGTGACATTTAACATGTACATGGTTTATAATTTTCTTTCATTTACAGTAAGATTCACTCTGAATAAGGCACATAGGGAACTCGAAATTGAGGGATATGTTATAATCGTACAACACTCTACCAAAAGTGGCCCTTGAGTCTTGTATTAAGTGAACACAAGTAAAAAAAAAAAATCCAGCAATCGTGAATATTCATGCCCACAAATAAATGGAGTGCGAAAAGAAGTTTTTTGTTTTTTTTGTATTGACACAACTATGAATTTAACTACAGCAGGTGTAGGAGAAGGAAAACACTGAATTCCAAACCAGCTGGAGATCGTTTGGGAACATTGTGGCATACAATGCACGGGTTCTCCATATTAGATTCTTCCAAAAATGT